TGTGTGTAGGTCTTCTGGAAAGGAAGGGTGTTCTTGTGGCTAATTCAAAGAAGTAGGAGACTGGAGATATGCATTTTATTCCTAGTTCTGCCACAGGTTTACTGTTTCATCATCTGTGAAATGGGGATGCTGCTGCTTTATTATTATATAAATGAGGTTATTTATTGTGAGACTTACTTAATTAATGCCTGTACAGCACTTTTAGAAATTCTCAAGTGGAAGGTGCTATAGGTAGAGAATTTAACTGGCACAAGCTACAAGAAACTTAATTGAATATTTAAATATACATGAGTTTGCTGTTTGTTTTAAAAGTGTCCTGTCTTGTTACATCTCTGTATATGTTTCTTACACATTCATCCCAGAAATGGAGAATATTCTGATGAAAACTGTATAAAATATTAAGTACTCCATTTCAAGACAAATGATTCTACGAGACAGATCATATTGTAATAATATCACTTCAGTGACTGGGTATAGGTAAGAGAATGGTAACTAAAATCTGTCAAGCTTTTTTAATAATAATTCTAGCTTTTTTTTAGCAAATTACTCAGAACAAAATTAATTCCTGTCTGCTGCAATGAATGTTGTACTTACTGCAGATTTTTTTATTTAAAAAATATATATAAAATAAAATTAAATTCATTTTTGTAGCATAAACAAACTTTGCTAGCCAGATGTTAGGGAAAATTCATAATACAGAAATATGTCATTGTTTATTAAAATATAGAAAAATGTGATTCATTTATCATAATATTCAGTTGTATGGACAAACATCACTTTATCCATTTATAGTACTTTACAATAGCATTCTGTAATGAGATTTCTTATTAGCTGCTGAAAGTTCTGTCTTTCTACCCAATCCTGTACCACTTAGTCACGCAAAATATCCAATTATTTAAATTGATGCTTTCCTGAGTAAGTTGGAATCACATCTAGTAGATATTGGATACAACTGCATAGTTTGGGGGCTCATTGTCCAATTTACCCTCCATCAAACAACATCTATGAAATTACAAAAAATAAGTACTGTAATAGTTCTGTGGTGCTACTATAATTGCATAAGATAATTTTCTCATGACAGAGGTTGGCTGCATATTTGTGCTTATGTTCCCATAGAGGGCTAGCTTTTGTTGGGGAGGGGAGTGCTGCCTTTTCCTTTTTGCAAATAGTTGTAACACAGAATCAGCATGTTGTGCTGGCCATCTCCTCAGCAGTAGTGCTGCTGCTGCTTGGGAATATTCTCGTAAATGCAGTACATTTTTCTGATTTTGAAAAAAAAGATAAATATAGCAAAAATATAGCAAAATGATTATTTCCATTTCTGTATCTGTTTCTCATAAAACTGAATTTATTTTATTTAATTTACACTATGCGAACCAAATGGATCTTAACATTTGTAGGTGCTGTAGGAAAAGTTGCATTTGCAGCACTCAGTCTGAGCCTGTACAATTTCCAAGGGTTATGACATTTCTTCCACTACCTTTATTGATCATTTTAAGAAAAAGGATCAGGATCAGGGCTGATGAACGCCTCGGATGGAGAGATCTTATCCAGCTATGTTCAAAGCATATTTCCTCCTTAATCTGCTGCAAATGGCTCTGAATCTAGTACCAGTAGCTGAGTTCCTATCCCATCCTTGATTACAGCAACTTCTGAAGCATTTGACATGCTTCTGTGTCATATGAATGTCTGTGTGAAGGCCTGGACACATTAGAATTGGATTTAATTAGAAGTTGTAATATTAGCTCTCCTGGAGTTGTGGACTAGTTGATAAATTGTTTTTTCTTCAGGGGAAGGCTTTGTCATCTTACTCCTGTAATTATGTATAGTTGTTATGTTCATACAAAGCACACGGGATCTTTATAGAGGAAAGTGAATACACAGCATTTATTGAGAATCCCACAGTTAGCATAAGCTTTTTAGACACACCCACCCACACACACACACACAGTCCTGCCAGTGATGTTCATAGTTACCAGTCTGTTGTAGCTCGAGTCAATCTAATGGCCAGTTACATTGAGCACGAGTGTGGAGCTGGGTTCTGTCAGTCGCGATCCGATGCTCCGAGGCTTTGCAGGACTGAACCCAGAGTTCCATGGCAAAGCACCCCAGCTTTATAGTTGTAAATTCTCATTTGAGTCCATGCATTTTGCAATGTCATCCTGTAATCATTAGTCCTTAAGTGGTGTTATTATTTGATGGTTATTGTCAGGCTTCCCATTGTTATCTCCTATTTGTTGTCTCGCCTTCGGGGTTGCCTGCCTCACCTCTGAGGTCTTCAATGCTGCTAACATGTTTAACATCGGATACAATGGATGTCTCCTGGTCTTTCCAAGTCTCTCACTTCTTCTTGACCATCTGGACATTTGTGATGGCTTTCACACCTTATCTTTTCCTGATGCATGCATTCCTCATTCACACAAACAATCTTACAGAAACCTTCAAAGGTATACAGACAGCAGTATTGTATATTCAGCAGAATACATTGTAAATCAAGCCTTGCTAAATCTTATAACTAAAACAATTCACATTGGGGCTTCAGGCTCTCAACATTCCTCTAATCTTCTTAACATAGATAGAATAGAGAATCCTGTCTCTTACTTCCTAATTTGTAATACATATAGGAAACCATAGTAGCTTTATAACTTATTCTAAAACAAAAGGATGACCATAATTAGTCATAAGGATTGTTCTAGTCTGTCATTCCTTTCTGCTATTCAAAAAGAGTGGCTGACAAGATGAAATCAAATCATACATCAATTCTCATAGTACATTATAAAATCCAGCTCCTACATAGTCATCTTAAGTAAGATTCTAGTTTTCTTTATCATGGTCCACAGAAAGCTTGTAGTCAAGGTGGTGTTCTAAGCCTCCTTTTTGTGAGAATGCAGAAAGGTGTGTGTGCATAATGCAGTTACTTAAGTTCGAACTCCAGGCCCTCCAGAGATTACTGTATGCAGACTTACCTGTATGCGGTGGGTGTTGACTTGCAGCATTTTTTGTCAGTTTCTTAGGCTACTGTTCCGCAATCAGCTTTTTGCTGTTAATGAGAGATATCTCAGTCTACTTTTTAGAACCACCAGTTTTTATTCCTAGAACTGTGAGGACATGAGCCAAACTTCCATGAATAGCCCCTGTTGCACAACTCAAATCTGTCCAATAAGTGTACAAGTGGTAGAGTTGTTTGGGCATCCTGACTTTGTGGCCAACCAAATTAGCCTTGGGATTTGCCGTTAACTAGGCTGGCTGTTTTCAACACCAGGAAGCTTAACTGAATGGAAGGACTATGTTTTTCACTTTCGTGGAAGCATGTTTCTTACAAGAATTCCAGCATGTACTGCATACTAGCTCCATGGATTATCTCATGTGACAGTGGGTAGTAAAAGTTCGCTGGCATTCCTTGCCAATATTTTGAGTTTTAAAAAGTAGAGGCTCACTTGTGTGTGCACTTCCGATGATGTTTTGGTAAAAGTCACTGATATGTGCTTGCACATACAGTAAACATGCATGCACAAAAGTAGGGACAGGTCACATTTTTTGAAAATCAAGTCCTTTGTTTCTTCCTTTCAGAAACTGCTTTCAAGGCAGGCCTGTCTCATTTTTTAAAAACTATTTTTACTTTCAAATAGTGCTTTCACAAGGTGGGGGAAACAGTTGATAAAAAGTATTTAGTGTAACAGTCCTTGCTGTTGCTTGGCTTCCATTTTTTGGAGATACTTTGCTATGAACTGGAAGAAATGAAATAATGGGAAAAGTGCATGTTAAAATTCACCAATAATGCATAATTGTAAACTACAATCTCTGTTATCTAGGTAAAATGTAAAAATCTAGGATAGATTAGCTGGTAAGAGTACAGAAATCTTATAATTTTTCATTACAAGTACTCAAATTCAGAGATTTATTTAAGATGAAACCAAGTTAAGGAAAAAGAACAGGCATGCCGGGGTGTGTGTGCGTGCATGCGAGCAAGTGTGTGGTTACTTTTCATTCTTCCTGAACCTTATAAGTTTACATTAAAAGCAATGCACTTTTCCCCAGCATCTGGTTTGCTAACATATGCTATGGCAACTGGTGCAACATTTTTCTAATAAAGTGTTTATTGTCATTGTTTAATTTTCTGCTTTGAATCATTTATAATCCAAATATAGACTATGAAGCACAATGTCCCATTCATTACTGTAATTGATCAATTTCAGAGTTATTTTTCTATCTTCCTTAGCCATGTAATATTTTTTGTACCATGTTTAGTTGATTTAAAGCTTCTTACATTTAATTAGTTCTTGTTTGTCCCTATGGAGCGGGCCTGCTTCCTTTTATTAGAAATTCAGAATGTATTGTGACTCTTGAGTTAACTAAAATTTATGTTGTAATTATGTAAATGAGTATTTTCTATATTGTAAAATGGAAGACACGTATAGAGCTAGACAATGAATCATTAGTAATTGGTCACTAAAAGGACTACCTACATCTAGCATACACTCATTAAGTACATGCCTCTTGTGCAAAAAGAGCAATATTTTCTTTTATTAAACAGATTATATTAAGTGTCAAATAGTTTAAATTAAACAATGAAATGGGGGAAAAAACTTTACAAAGAAAACTTTGATTCATAAATATGCCAGAAAAATCCCTCTAAATGGAAAAAGAATAAAATCACAAAATACTAAATATTTTACATTTTCTAAATTATTTAAATATGCTGTGTACTGCTTGTGGATGAAGTACTGAGCTCTGTCAGTAGAGGGCAGCAAAGTTGCAGGGGATCTTTTTTTGAGATCTTGGAAACTCTGTCACAAGATTTTTACTTGTTTTCTTTATTAGCTGTTTAACAGTTGCTTTAGGTTTGTCTTTTAATGAAGTGTCCATAATTTCATAGAGAGTGGTCACTTTTAACCCAGTGAGTTTGGTTCAGATATTTAACTAGTTGTCCCCTGGCCTTAAGTGTACTTGTGGGCACTTCTCTAATGGATGTTAAGTGTTTCTCTTTTGATGTCCTTCAGGGTGTTCCAGGACCTGGACAATATGAAATAAAAAGTCAGTTTCAGAAGGTGGAGAATATATCACAAAATGGAAATGAAGTTCCACGTGCTCCTTTTCTTTCACAGTCCAAAGTAAGTGCCAGTAGCATATTTTTCTTTCTTCTGTACTTTCTTGGTCAAAGTTGCATGAAAAAGTAAATAGCTGCATAATCCGCAAGAGATTATAATTGTACTGTGAGCCATGATTAGTAAATGATTTTTTCTTTCTCTGTGTTGTATTTTGATGTGTGTGCGTATGTATATATATGTATAGAAAGATATGTAGAATTGTATGTGTGTGAGTATACATATTTATGATATAGATAGATATGCATATATATTTAGGGATGTGTAGGAGTGTATAATGTATGCATGTATATAAAAATAAACACATGCATACATGAACCCACTTTATTTTTTACTCATTTCCAAATAAAATATGGATGAGGCTCCATCTGCACTTTCACAGACAGTAAATACCTTTCAAATTACACCCGTTAATCAGGTTTGTCCTATGTGAATATAACACTGGGAGGTGGTGAATGAAAATTTCTTGTGGCTATGTAAAATCAGTGCACATGTACAAAGATTGTTTTTAAAAATTCTTCTAACTGCCAAATTAAAATGTGTTTTCACGCACCTATTGAAAGGTACATGTATAATCTGACATATCTGTGCCAAATCTGAAGTTTCCATCCCTTTCTTCTGAGATGTTAAAAATAGTTGCAGATTTTTTTTTTTATAATGGTAAATATTTTCACTCTCTTCATTCTCTAAAATAGCTGAAGAGTTCTTGCTTAGACTTTCCACAATATTTATTTTTGAGCAGAAACTAAACCTGGACATTTTCAGCACCAGAAATGGAACTTCGAAAACGTTTTTAAAAACTGGAAAAGGCCTTGTACAGTAGAAATCCTAAGGCAGCCACAGGCTATGAGCACCACCTGCAATACAAAATAACAAACAGCCAATTTATGAAACAAGGATCTGATGCCATCTCAGTGTTCTAGCAACTACAAGACTATTTGTTTCCATACTTTATGATATCACCAAAATCCCTTGATGGAGTTATAATAATCCTTCTATTCACAGCTGCCTCTTTAATCTATGTATAAAGAATATATGTAGAATAATTGAATATAACCATAATCCCACTGCTAATTAAGAGTTCACAGCTACTAGCACATCAGGGGCTATATTTCATGACTATGTGGTCATCTACTACATTTCAGATCTTTGGAATATGACTCTTAAAATTTAAGGAAAAACTCAGAGCGAATACAAAACGTACAGTCTGCAAAAGACCTCTGCTGAATAACTGACTGAGTAAGCTCTTAAATCACAATCTACCACCCATCCCACAAAACCTCAGCTGTCAATTGCTGAGGAAAAGAAAGATTATTACACTGTACTGAGAATAAATGAGGTAGCTATGAATTATGACACTCTGCTTTCATTGAGAGGTTCTGGTGACATCATAAATTGTAAGAGTGAAACTTTGATATAGAGTTACACTTTGAATTTGCAGACTGTATCTTTTGATGATTTTTTTATCATATTTAATGTATGGTCATGTTTTTTTTTTAATTTCCTTTCCTTCTCTTTTCCTGTCATCCCTTTCATTCACTATCTTCTCCTTCCATTCATATTTACTTCCTTCCTCAAACAACATCTTATGCAAGCCACAGTTGGTCTGTTCCATGCATGGCATACATCTAATTTTTATTTTTACTCACCAAAAATGTTGTCATGTGTCCCAAAAGACAGAGGAATCTAAATAAACTCTCCATCCATTTAGTTTAAACAACTTCATGGAAGCTCTTTTAGGAAGGCTGCTAGAGTGACTTTAATTCAGCAGGCTATCAGAGTGGCTTTTCCTTTTCTGAAAATTCATATATATTAAGGATTTTTCTGCATGTGGTTTACTATATTTATTGTAATCTGTAAAATATAAAGTTATGCAAATGCATCAAGAATTTATGTAAAAATCATTGCTAAATGAGAGCAAAGATTCAAGGAGTGTGTGTCTTCAGAACCTTTATAAGTAAGTATAACTTTATTCAGTTTTCCTGTTTCATTTTTTGTGTTCCATCAAATATATGAACTAGAAAGTACATTTATTAAAAACATATAGAAAATAATCTTGTATAGTTCTGCATGTTTATTTTTTGAAAATTGTTAAACATTTGCTATTACAAGAGGAACATTTCTAATCAGGGCCGTAGCAACAAAGAACGTGGCCCCCTCCGAACATATGTCCGGGCGGGGCCCCTTACAATGCAGAAACTGGAATGCGGTATTTATTTTATACAATATACAGGGTTCATATTATGTATACATAGGCCTACAGTGTACATGTATTCCGTATTTACGCAAAGCGCTTCTTTCAAGCCTTGTTCTCCGCAAATTGGTTAATCAATGCGTCATAGTCCAGAGATCTGGCAATCTTGTTTTCGATCGAGATAACTGCAAGCGCAGAAAGCCTGTCATCTGTCATAGTTGAGCGCAGGATATTCTTGATCAGTTTCATTCTGCTGAAGCTCCTTTCAGCACCAGCGACAGTAACTGGTGTGGTCAGAAGAATTCTGATGCAAATGCAAAGATTCGGATATATCTCCTGAAGCCTGTTCTTGTATATGTACGTTAAAAAATTGTTTGCCGTGACAAGTCCTCTCTCTTTCTCGATGACATAAATAAAACGATTCAATTCCATTATGAGTTCGTTGGCATCAATGTCTCCCATTTTTCTTTCAAAATTTTTGCTGTGATTCTCCAGTTCATTTTCTCTGTGACACTGCTTCAGGCTGTTAGCGCTGTACAGAAATCCAAACAACTTATACCACTCCACGAGTTGGTCAAATCGCGACGAAACAGAAATATGGCCTAATCAGTGAAAACAAGAAAGAACTGAGATTTGAATTTTTCTTCGGCAGAAAGACGACTCGAATCATCAGCACATTCGTAATCAAACATTCTCTTCTTACGTCGCACCCTGGTTTCTGGAAACACCTGCTCAATACCCATATGCTCTGCTATTTCACGTGCATTTGTGACCACAGAGATATATCCTGTATTTCGATAGTCTTCCAAAAACTTCTTTGTAGCACCGACTTCTGCCTGCAGTACGTCAATTGACACATCTGGTGACTGAATTAATTTGCTGGATTTATTGACGTGAAATAGTATATCGTACCACGTGTACACAGTCAGAACAAAAGGCCACGTAGTAACATGGTCTAAAAGCGCACCGGCTTCTGTTGCTGTATTGCCATCTTTCTTTTCGAGTGCATATTCTCGCAAAGATGACAAAACATTGCACAATTCTTCAAGGTGATAACGCAATGGCTTCACAGCATCAATTCTCGACTCCCAACAAGTGTCCGATAACCCTTTAACAGATATTGGCATATGTTCTTGAAGTATATCCCAACGTGAAGGTGAAGAAGAAAAGATAACGTATATTCTGTTAATCACACCGAAAAAGTCAACGGCATATTTCGATGACTTTGCCGCGTCTGAGATCACAAGATTCCAAGTGTGAGCTCCACATGGTACATACAACGCACGGTCATTTATTTCTAGCATGCGGGCTTGAACTCCTTTATTCTTTCCTCGCATACTTGCGCCGTTATCATAAGCTTGGCCTCTCATGTCAGCAGTGTCTATTCCTAAGTTGTTTGCCTTTTCAAGAAACGCTTCCAATAAGCCCTCGCCAGTTGTATCATGAACATTAAGAAAACCAAGAAACGCTTCATGAATATTGACACCATCTTCACTGTTGCATTCAACAAAGCGTAACACCACAGACATCTGTTCTTCATGTGACACGTCGGGAGTACAGTCCAAAATAACTGAATAATATTTTGCTTTTTTAAGCTGCGCTATGTTGGCCTCTTGAATGTTACTGGCAACAAGTTGAATCAGCTCGTTTTGGATCTGTGGACTGAGGTACTGAACATGTGTCTCTGCCTTCTTAATCCTCGGTAAAAGTTCGCTGAGGACAGTATCATACTTTGCAAGCAATTCAAACAGTCCCAAAAAGTTGCCATTCGAAGGATTGCTGAGCTTTTCATTACTTCCTCGAAATGCCAAGTTTCTTTCGGACAAGAAAATAACGACATCAACCATGCGTTTGACATTTCTCCAGAAATCTCTTTCTTTCAGAAAAGCCTGCAATTCGAGTTGGTCAATAGATGTATGGTTTACTATGCCTGACCGAAGGTCAAACCATTTCACCATACAGTCTTGATGACCTTTGCCTGTTTCATGCTGCTGAAGTCTTTTTGACAGTGCTTTCCAAGCAGATGTTCCACGACGTAGCAGTATGTCGCCAGTGCCAAATAATTTACAACAAAAACAAAAAATGGCATCTTTCTGAACTGAGTACATTAACCATGAACGTCTTATTTTCTCGCCATTTGCCATGGTTCGATAGAAATGAGTACTTGTGAACCTCCGTCTTTCCTCGTTAAATGGAAATTCGTAACTTTCATTCTGCTGCGGTGGGCCACGTGCAACAATGTCACACACTTGCCTGTCCGATATTATAGACGGCCAATCTCCTGGATCATCAGTCAGTAGTTCAGATTCAGATACTTCTTTCCCGGCAGCAGCTGGACTATCTGTCACAGTTCTCTTAGACATCACAAAGCACGCTTCTGCGTTGGAAACGAATCATTTCAAACGATAAAAAATTAAACAACTAAATTAATAACATTTATCCGCCGACCGCCATTATGAACGCAAATACACATTCTTTGAATGGGTCCAACTAAAATTCGAAACTGACCGACAGACAACTGATGTAGCCAATAGCATTATGATATGTCATAATAACTTCACGGTTTTGTCAGTAAAACCGACATGGATTGTGCAATAGCGTCAATAAATGTCACTTACCTAGTTATACCTTACATTTTTTTTGCCACTTTTAGGGGCCCCCTTCCTTGCGGGGCCCCCTCCGGTCGGAGGGTACGGAGGGCGCTCGCTACGCCTCTGTTTCTAATATTTTGTATATTTTAGAGATAATTTTTCAGTGGTGTGCTTATACCAAAATTCTTGGTATAAATAAAATATCTTGGATGCCTAAATTTAGGTGCCAAACCATATTTAGGCACCTAAAGAGCCTGCCTGCCTGATTTTCAGAGGTGTTGAGCACAATTAGCTCCTCAATAAGTCAGTGGTTTGCAATGGTGAAAAGTGCTCTGAAAAGTAGGTCAATTTTTTATTTAGATGACAAAATATGGATTTGGGTGCCTAACTTTAGGAACCCATGGTTGAACATTTGTTGTTCTTCCAGTAGTGTCCCCGTGGGTGCTCCACTGTCGGTGTGATAGTGCCTCCTGTGCCTGGGAGATCTTAAATAGCAGTGCTTGTTGGGCTGCACATGCGCTTCTCCCTATCTTGTGCCATGAGTGGCATCTATATAGTGCTGTGTGGTCCAAATGTCTTCACTTCCTTCTCAACCACCTTTGATCTGTGATGGAATCCTGAGCAGAGTCCTTCAACCATCCCTAGCCTTTAGTAATAGTAGTGTTTCCATTATAGTTAATTGTAGATACCAGCCGTTTCCTTTAATTTTCTTCCCCCTAAAAAACAAAAACCCCGTTGCCCTTTTCTCCCTATTACTCTTTAGCTTAGAGTAGATTTCCTTTTTTCTATGCTCTTCCTGATTGGGAAACTCTCCTTGCTCGGGTTATGCCTGGATCTCCTCTTTTGCCGTGAGGCCATCCCCATGACCGATGGTCACTCACGGTGCATATGCTGCTTCAGTGAGGGACATGTCTCTCAGAAGTGTACCCAATTCCTCAACTTGAAAGCCTGGTAAAGAAAGAACCATGAACTGAGGCTAAAACTTCTACTCATAGAGAGCTCTGTGCGACCAGCCTCAGACTTTGGCCCTGATATCTTGCCTATGTGGCGCTTACCATTGGCACAGTCATCAGCCGACCCTCACTCGCCATGCACTACCAAGAGAAAATCCACACTTTTACACTGAGATGAAAAGAAAAGGGCCACTAGCTCACTCTCTAAGGAGCCACCTCAGAAAAAAAGCATCCCTGGAGAGGTCTGTAGCCCCAATGTCCTCAGGGGTGAGACTTGGCTCTCGCAACTATCCAGGCATCTCTGGTACTGGCACAAAAGATAGGTCCAAGGACCCTAAAAGGGCGGGACTACAGGCGGAAATACTGTCTCATGGCACTGCAAAAGACAGTGTAAAACTTTCAAAATTGGCACTGACCACCTCAACAAAAATAATCCTGAGTGCTTCGGCACCGACTAAACATCCAGCACTGAGCAAGATTTCAGCACCAAGTAAGCCCTTGGCAACAGCTACTGGCCACTCAAGAGAATGCATTCCCCCGTCGGCACTGGCTATGCCCTCAACCACTGCACCACCACTGGTGCTGATGATGCTCCTGCTGGTACCACAGGCATTCAGATAGCCCAGAGACTCTCAGTCTCTGATACGCCAGAGTCGCCACTTCTCCACAGTGAATTCCCTGCACCTCATGCCTACTCTCCAGAGACACAACAGCACTCTACTTCCAAACTGAGGACGTTCTTGAGTGAGGAAGAAGAGGAGGAAGGAGAGGAGTACTCCACTGCATGCAGTCCTCCATCATATTAAGAGCAGACACACACAGAGAACCATCCTCTCATCTCCGATACCCAGTGACCAGAACTGAACCAGGTACCTGATATGGACCCCCATGGATGCAACCTCACATGCCAGTTCTTCCATATTGGCCCTATTGGGACCCAGGGGCCCACGGAGCAGAAGCAGACACAAAGACGATCTCTGTCTTCTTCAGTCTCTAGATCACCTGTCATTGAACAAGAAATCCACCCCAAGATAGAAGGTCATTCCATATTTATCCCCCCCCCCATCACAAAAAGAGTCTTCAAGGGCCTTCAGAACCTTTACCTTCAAATATGTGACCCCCACCCTGGGATACCAACCTAGTTCTGCACTGTCTCACAGGCCCTCCAGTTGAACTCATGGCAACGTGCTCCTACACCCACCTATCCATGAAGTCAGCATTTCTCATCACCATCACATCCACCTGAGAGGTAGGAGAGATAGGTGCTCTCATGGCATACCCTCCGTACACAGTCTTTCACAAAGACAAGGTCATGTTATGACCACACTCAAAATTCTTACCCAAGATGCCGTCCCTCTTTTCACCTAGAGCAACCTATCCACCTTCCTTCTTTCTTCCCGAAGCCACATGGCAACCAACATGAAGCCATGCTGCACACATTGGATGTCAGATGAGCATTAACCTTTCACATTGACAGAACCAAATCTTTCAGACAATCGCCACACTTATTCCTCTCCGTTGCAGAGAGATCAAAGATCATATCCAAATAATGTCTCTCTAAATGGATCTTGGAGTTCCTCTTCTTTTGCTACCAATGACACAAACTGCGACCCCCACCTGGAACTTGAACACATTCCACTTGCTCGCTGTCCATGGGCACACATCTACAGTCATCTATAGTGGAGCACCCATGCTTGAAAAAAAGATTACTACTCACCCTGTGCACTAACTGAGGTTTTTCAAGATGTGTGCTCCTATGGGTGCTCCACTACTCCCCTCCTCCTCTTTGCTTTGGAGTTTAAAGATAGACTCTGTGGTAGAGAAGGAACTGAGGGCAGTTGGATTTCACAATGCTATACAGACACCGCTCATGGTGTGAGATGGGGAGGAGCGCATGTGCAGCCCAATGGGCATTGCTACAGAAGATCTCTGATCCCAGACGCAGGAGGTGTTACCGCACCTACAGGGGAGCACCCATAAGGGGACACATCTCGAAGAACCTCTGTTACTGCACAGGGTAAGTAACCTTCTGTTCCTTATGATTTTAATTACAGTAGTTAGAATTGTGGTTAGGATTTTCAAAAACTCATAAGTGACTTAGGAGCACATTGACTTTCAGTGGGACTTGTGCATCTAAGGGCACTTCATGCTTTTCACTGAACTGTAGCAGTGTCCATCCGTATCATTGCTTAAGGGCAAGTTGGAGTGCTGTAGATTCACATCCTGATTTGCAGCGTAGTAATTTGTTATGTGGACAAGCCCTAAGTCATTTAGGCCCTTTTGAAAATTCCTCCCTGCATGTTTAAATTCCTGCACATTGAGGTTTACTTCACACTTTCATTTCAAGTTAGCTAGCTGATTGGGGTGTTTTTGGGAGGGAGCGTAGAGAAAAATGGGGTAATCCCTTGGCTCAGTCATCAAATTTGATTTAATCTCTCCAAGATAAATCAATTGACCACCACATGATCAACTATTTGTAGATGTTTTGGATGAGAACATAAAAGTAATCCCCTATATGTTCTTCGTGGACAGTAAATATCTCCTCATAAGATTATGAGACTATTATGATGTACTTGCCGAGAAATTTGGCCTCTTCTTCACCATTCTGTTTGTGTTGTGTATTTACTGGCTACTAATATGGCTGTACTTATGTGCTTGCATGTATGAAGTAATTCAAATTAGATCTATCTATCTATCTATCTATACTTGTGTGCGTGTATGAAGTAATTCAAATTAG